TTTTTTTTTTTGTTTTTCTATGCTAAAATGCATCATGACTTTCCCAACAACCTAATGTGAGGAATATATTCACGTTGGAACATTCACTTTACAAGCTAAGTGACATATGCGATTGAATGTATAAAAGAAATTAAACAAATTAAAATTTAAAACATACTAAATTTATGATTACATCAGATACAAAGTTCTAATTGTGCTGCAGGTGTAAAGATGACATGAAATATCATCTTTGTGTTTCAAGTAGGAAATTTAAAACAACAATGAAATTCAGTTTCCTTGACTTTAAAACTGATGAGAAATAACACATTAAAACAATGTTAAAAATGGGGAATGCGTTTGGGGAATAAGTTAATGTTATTTCAGAAAGTGATACTAGTAGACTAATTGGGTTCTCAGGGGCCTGTTTATGGATTTAACTGCCTTGTTTCTTGCTTAACTGAAAATAATTTCACTCCCAATGTCTAAATCTAGGTCTGAGGTATAATCAGCACAGGCTTCCCAGAGGAAGAAAGAACTAGAGAACATAAAAGCATTAAAAATTGTAATGGACACTAGAGACGAAGCGGAAAGTGTGGGAGGGGAAGAGCATAGGAAAGGAAATTTGGAGGAAAAGCAGAGAGGTAAGACACTTGTGGGACACAGATCTGGTTTATTATCTATTGATGAGGATGTGTATCGTATTCTCTACTGAGCTGGACTGAGGTGTACCTCATGCTTCGTAAAGTCTCATGCTTCGTAAAGTCTCATACAGCAATGGACTGTATGAATACTGCTACTACTAATAAATAAAAATAAGAGAGAAAAAAGCAAAAACAGACATGCTTTCTAGGGTACAAAATGCAAAAAATGTTTGGCGAGGGCTATGTGTATATGTCTGGTCTGGCCCCTTCATGTCGTTTGGAGGAACCCAGTTGAAGCACGAAGGTGAGTGTGTGCAGCTATACAGAAAGCAGGCTGGAACTGGACCTGCTGTGCACCGCACCACGATGGCAGTGCACCCAACTATGCTGCATCCTTCAGGGAGCAGACAGGGGAGAGATGTAGAGAGCTAAAGGGATGTACGGAATTCTCATACAATTTATAGTCACCGTCATTTCGACTGAACAGCTTGTGGCCCTTGGAAGAGTGAAAAGTAAAGAGAAAACAGGAAAAAATATATACGATGTTGGAGTTCTGGAGTTCTGAGACAATTAGGAATTGTGGATCTAATCATTTAAAAGCACTTCCATCACTAAACAAATAGTCTGTTTACTCCTAACTGCCTAGCAGGCTCAGAGCCAGTTACAGTTCCTCTGTCTCATGATGACACCCACGAGAAGGCAGGTGTGTGTCTGCGTGCCCACTGCCTAACAGGAGCCCAGTGTAAACCAGCTCCTGACACCTTCTCAGCATAGCCTTCGAGTTCTACATGGCTGGCTTCTTTTCCCTGCCCAGTGCTACGTCATTTAGAGCCTTTGCAAAATTCACCACTCAGTTATAAAATCACGCACTGAAGGAAACACTGAAATCATTCTGAAATGTATTTTTATTAGTTTTTTTTGGAAGATATTTGCTATATAGGGTACGTGCACTTGTGGGAGAGAGAGACACAGAGAGGGAAAGTGAAAAATCACTGCCCTAGAGAGGATGGCCATGCCACAATTCATTCTCCTCTTGGGATTTTGGGCAAGCATGCACACATGTCCAGTGTGAGTTTCAAGTCACGGGGCCCAGGACTTGAATTGCGGTCAGCCATGTGGGAGTCCAGCACCTTAACCACTACGCTACCTGCTGGTCTCCTGAAATGTATTCTAAGAAATGCAAAATATAAACTCTCATCCACCTAATAATTAGTGGTGTCAACAGTTCAGATAATCCATGTGTCTGTGTTTCTCTTAGCCCCTCTGTTATAAAAAGCCCAGAGACTACAAAGCTTTTCATACATTCTTTTGGAACATACTGCAATAAAAGACCTTTTGACATACAGCCTAAGCTCAGCTACTGAATGAAGTTGGGCTTAAAATATTTTTTAATGACATAAAGTATGTTTTTCCTTCTTTTAAAAAGCCTATAAAAGAATTCTTATGATCATTTTCTAATACAAAATACTAAAACAGTTTCAGACAAGGTGACTCTAGCTGAAATTTAATTAAGAGAAACACTGACTCTCTTTGTACTTTTTTTTCTTTCTCAATTAGTGCCATGAAAAAGGCTTTTCTTGTTAAAATGATGGAGACTCAAGTGGGGGAGACAACTGAATTCAGACCAAAGCAGGCCCAGAGAACTTGGGTGCAGGACTTCTTTGGACCTGGAGGTAGCTCTGAGTAGAAGATACCAAGTATGTTTCTTGGTAGAAGAAAAAGAAAAATGTCCCTCAAGTGGGACATTTTATCAACACTCATCAACAAAACAAACAAACAAACAAAAAACAGTCTAATTTATACCTTTTTCACTCCTTAGTCTCCTTCTATCATGGTTTGAATGCCCATTACCTCCCAAACTTAATGTTGAAATTTAATCGTCATTGCAACAATATTACTGTAAGATGTAGCACCGTGAAAATGTAATTAGTCCATGAAGGCTCTACGCTCATGAATGGATTAATGCTGTCATTGCAAGAATAGGTTTATTATAAAGGGGCATTCGGCCCTCTTTTACTTTCTCTCTTGCCCTCTCTTTGCCCATGGGATGGTGCAGCAAGAAGGTGCTTGGCAGATGCCAGTTCCATGGGCTTCTCAGGCTCCAGATTGAGGAGATAAATTACCCAGTCTGGGCCAGCCATAATGGTGCAGGTGGCAGTGTGACACTGTATGATACCAGAGTGATGTGGGAGGCCTGGGTTCAGATCCCAGGTCAACCTGCACCTGACAGGTATGCCTGTGTATGCCCATTATCCTGGCTGGGATCTGGGGGACTTGGGGAGGGTTACACTATGGGGAGATCCTGTCAAGATTATCTGTCTCTCATGAAATCAACTGACCAATCAGTTGAGCAAAAAACTTAAGAAAAATTACCCAGTCTGTGGGATTGAGTTATAGAAGCACAAAGCAGACTAAGACATTTACTCACTGAAGCCCCACATATACTTGGGACTACGCTTGGCAATGGACAAAGTCATGCCCCTTTAAGAACTCAACATTCTTTGTAATTTTAACTTACAGCCTATAAGGAAGGGTCATTAATTTTTTTTTTTTTTTTTTTTTTTTGGTTAAGAGAGATTCTTGCTACAGGGCTCATGTGCTTGTCAGAGAATAGAGATGGAGAGACAGAAAGTGAGAAATTACCCTCCAGAGTGTATGGCCATGCCACAATCCCTTCGCCTCCATTCTCCTCTCAGAATTTTGGGCATGTACACGCACCTGGCATGAGTTTTAAGCTGCTAGGACTTGAACCATGGTCAACTATGTGGGAGTCCAGCAATATAACCATTAAGCCAACTGCTGGTCCCTGGTCATTAACTCTTTTGGGCTCTGAAGGGCTCCTCATCAGGCCGTCTAAACAAGAGTTTACTAAAATGCTGCAGACACAGAGCTGATGGAATAAATGAACTTCTTGAGATGCCGTGCTGGCCATTTGGGAATGAGGCAGACCTGGAAAATTACAGGCCTAATGAAGTCGCCCATTTTCACAGGTTCCTTTGGTGTTTTTGTCCCCATCTGAATTCCTCTTAATATTCCTGTCAGCACAGGAGAGATATATTTGTTACACCAGTGAGTCACCATGGGAAGAACGAGCAGTCTGGCAGCAGCGGAAGCCAATTCACCTGACAGTTATATCACTTCTCTCTGAAGACAAACGCAGTTTGGTGGCAGACAATGAGGAATGACTCACGTTCTAATCACTCCTAAGCTCTGAGGGAATCTCCAAATGAGGTCTTACTTGGATTGACAGACCGTTTTTGAGGGAATCAATCAGATGAACAAACATTTATAAGATTTTTTTGTTTAAGAAAGGGAAAGGTGGTTGGCTTATTTCTGTGGTAAAGGTAAGGTCTGAGGGGTCAAAACTCATTTCAGACATAGAACAAATATAGGACTCTGCATCCTGATGTTTAAGCCAATATACAAAAATAATTCAATGAGATTATCCTAAAATTAATTACCAGAAGAATCATTATACTGTGAATTTAAAAACTTTAAATAGTAGAGACATACTGAATGTGGCATTTGGGGGGATCAGAAATTGGGTGTGTTAAACAGAGGAACCCCAGGGTGCCACAGCGTGAGATAAAGGGCTAACCACTAGATTAATATTTCGAAGCTGCAGTCTGGTGTTAGAGGTCCCTAACATTGCTTTCGTCTTCCCCTACCTGGCTTGCTCTTCTTTTCAGGGCCCAGTACCCTGGGTCACCGGGAGACCACCTGTTCTACCTGCATCTCAGCAAAGGCCCACAGGACGGGCTGTCAGAATCTCAAATGAGATTTCCATCTCT